GGTTTTGGGGCGTTTTGATGCGACAAAATTAAACCACTCAGGCCTACGGCCTTCGTGGTCAATTCCTACGCATCAAAACTCCAAACCGGTGTTAAATAGCCGATATACACCTCTCAGGCCGATGTTATTTCTTAAATTTAATACCTGTATCTTACTGAGACAACTGCGTATTATCTACTCTGAAACACAAAATGTTATTGATAAAATTACACAAAATAAAAACCTTGCATCCAAATAATGAGAAACCAATTCTACGATTCTTCAAATTTTCTGCTATAGAACATTTGCAAGAAAATACATACTTGTATTTAATATTTTCTTTTTGATTAAAATATAGATATACTATAGTACCTTATGCATTTTCTATTAACATATCCAGTTAATGTTTATACTGTGGCATCTGCCACCCTTTTTTATATTTAAACTATGCCTCAAGATGACTCCCTTTATATTAGTTTTATATTAGCCATTTTCTTAAAGATATTGTAATATATACTTACGCAAAAATTAAATTTAGATACAAATAACTATGAAATGAATATAATTAATTTCTTAGTATCACCTTTAGACGTGAATACAAAAAAGTATTAAAGGTTGATAGAGTGGGAATAAACATAAAATGTATTTATAAATGTCAATTTAAGTAACTAGAAGCACACATTTAGAAGATTTGAATTGACACTTAAATCCTTATGTAATCAAATGCAAAGTTTTGTATTATGTAGATCATTGATATAGAACCGGTTAGAGTATACAACAACACTTTAAAACCAACACAGGGCCATACCAGTAACAACACCGACAGCTACAGCTCGGTAGGCACTTGTTTTCTTTAATTAGTAATGATAAAACAATATATGTACAGTAACTACTTTATAATAACTATCGACTTCGTTGTACATGTACATTCGTATAAGATCTATATTTTTTTTTTATCAAAGTTAACATGGTAAAAGTAACATTGTTTGTAATGAAGGAAAACCTGGTGTGTAGCCACTATTACGGAATGGGCGTGCAAAAGGTCTGGGCAAAAAACATAACAGGCAAAGGAGTAAAAATTGCCATCATTGGTGCCGGGATAAATACAGACCTGAAGGACTTGAAACGGAATATTGTAAGTAGATATTTTCATTTTAGAAACTTTTGAAACTTCAAATGCATTAGGGATTAAATATATGAACTTAAGTCTGTAAAATATATCAATTTTCAAAGTCACGGTGACTGGTTTTAAGTTTGATGTTTCAGGGTTTTCAAAAGTTGTTAGTATTTTGTTGATTCTTGATATACTTGAAGATAAAGAAATGCTATATACATGTGTGACTCTTAGGTTTGTTATTCTTTTCAGGGCGATTGCGAACTTTGTAAGAACTTTATTCAGAACTCAACAGATGTAGCTCCAGAGAGCTTTAAAGATTTATTAGATAAACCGCCTTCAGTTGCCGAGTAAAGTATTTTTACTTTTTATTGATATAGTTATCTTTTACACTGAAGTGTAAGTTTTTCTTCTTTTGAAAGTGATATGTATAATAGTGTTTAAATTTATAAACAAACAAAACAGATTGAATGAAACTTCTTCGTAGGTATGACGTATTTGAAATTTATAAATATGTACTCGTTTATCACAGTCATGGTAATAAAGTTGCAAGTATTGTCGCAGCTGAAAAAGACAACAACATTTGCAGCGCTGGAATTGCATATGATGCTACAATTATAGGTTAGTTTCTTAAGATATTAAGTCATTATACGAGTGTTTTAGAAATGTTCTATTTTTGGTTATAATTGAAGTAAAAATACAAAACCAAACAAACAAAAGGAACTAAATTCCTACAATATTTAAATTGGACTTTTATGCATCATGTCGTGGCACATAGTAACGTGTAAACATTATACCATGGCAAAATAAAAAAAAAAGTGCTAATCCTTCCGAACTTGAGAAAATATTCATGTCTGCCGATATTGATCTTTTCCATTCTCATCATTGAACATTAGGTGTGATGTATTGCCAAGTGCGTATTTTGTATGAATTTAAATATCATAGAGCAAAGAACTTTAGTTTTGAATGTTGTTTCTCTTTGGTGGTCTCGCGTCAAAATTGTATAATTCAATTATTTTTGTTCTCTTCAGTTTTTAAAGCTTATGAGATTGTACTAGATGGGACGTTCCTGTATCACAATTCGAGTGCTGATAGTATTTCAAGGTCATTTGTACATGAATTAGATAAAATCGACATTTTTATACATTCGTTTGCTTTGGAATTTCCATTTGACGAATTGGACATCTCTATAAGAGCAGCAATTGCTGAAGGAGCAACTCAAGTATTATTTATTTTTATATTTTGGTTTATCAGTTATCACATCCAGTTAGGAAGTTTTTATTTAAAAACAAATTCTTTTTTAAAATTATTTTTTGAATGTTTTATAGAATAATTGTACACATTATATGATCAAGATTTCATGGTTGACGATTTTGCTTTTATTCTTAATTAACGCAAAGTTTATTTTTTGAATTCTAAAAAGAAATGAATACCGCCTTTGAAAATGCTTGACTTTTATGGAATATTTATTGTAAAGCTTTTAAACATTCATGTCTCGCTTAAATAATATAAAGTAGCTCTCTAAAATGATATGTCTGCCTTTTCAAGGGTCGTAAAAGACTTGGTACGATCTATGTTGTGCCTGCTGGTCCTGTTGGGAATGCACTGTCTCATAACAGACATACAATAACTGTTAACTGTATTGGAAAAGGAGGGACACAACCCAAGGATGCAGTTTTAGATACAAGTTCCTTAACATCTGGTTTACGAGATGGAAACGATATTTCAGCTTCATTCATGGTGATAATAAGAGGATATTTTTTCGTTTGAGTGAAATATGGAATATATTTTCACGAAACATGATAAAATGCTACATATTTTCACGAGCCGGGACGGCGAGTGAAAATATGTGGCATTTTATCATGTTGAGTGAAAATATATACCATATTTCACGGTAAACGAAAAAATAACCTTTTTATTTAATTTCATTATCAAAGAACAATGGTAATACACCCCATTGCTTGCTACGCAACTGCAATTGTACAGCGCGCAGTAATATATTAATGCGTCTTGTTTTGCACGCGATATTTGGCGCTATATTGTGACGTCACGTAAACAACTCTTAAAACGTCTGTACAGCGTTTATAACTGAATTAAAGGTATTGGTGTTCGGATTTATTTTCTAAGTTAGACGATTTTCTATCATTCTAGATAGTTTTCAAAACAAAATTCAACAAAAAGTTGTTTTGTATTTATCAGATTGTTCAAACAAGATGGCGAAAGTAGTCCCTGAAAATAAATATGAGTTTTGACTCCGCCCACTTTCATATTTATATTTCATATTTATTTTTAAAAAATATGAAATATATTTGACTGATATAGCACCATATTTCATGGGTAAAATTAAATAATTTACGCATATTTAGACATTTTTGTTTTATATTTCTTAAATAATTAATTCAATCAAACTAAGTATGCAACTTTTCTTTCCTACATTGTTATAACTATTCTTGAGTCTTCTGTCCATTTCAGAATTGAGGATCTTCTGACATAATTTTGCATGTATTTTGTTTAAGGTAACAGCATCCCATGGGAACAAATGCATTAGGGATTTTAAAGGTCTTTCAGCGGCAGTTTCTCAAGTTTCGGGTATAATATCCTTAGGATTACAGGCAAAGTATGGGACTAATTCTTATTTGCATTCAAGTTCTATTTCTTTGAATTGTTACTGAAAAATATTTTTGTGGATTTGTACACTAGTTGTTGATGTCAACTGATAATAAATATCACGTGGCCGTTGATTAGTTTATTAATAAGTTGCGCATTTAACAATTTTTCAAGAATACCATTTACAATGAGAGATATGTAAATGTTCATATGTATGCAAAGCGGAGGTCATCCCTCGAAAAGTTGAGATGTGGTGTTGAAACTGTAATGCCTGAGATAAGAAAGTTTGAATGTACATATATATGTAAGAATATGTCCAATTAGTAAGCCAAAGTAGAAACTGTAATGCATTTTCAGCTTATGAATAACTCAGAAATTTATTGTTTAATCAGGCTAAAGAAATAACTGATACTATTACTATAAAACACGTGGTTAAATGTATTATCTTTTAATTATGTGCATTTGATCACTGTTAAGCTGATTCCTGGTTCATCAGGGGCGCTGTATGATCTTATGTTGCATATTATGTACATTTGAGACAACGAGTATTTGTAATTTAGGTATAAAAGAAACTGTGAACATTAATGCAATCTTTCATCAAACAGAAATCCAAACATTTTGATGTAGTAAATAACAAAAAATTGCATTTTCATGATGCAATGGAATCAAATTTATATTAATATTATGACAGCGATTAAATTAATTATTCAGTTACATTTAAAGGTACGATGTATAACTATAATTTATTTGGAATCAACTGGCTATCATATTGGTCAATTTATTTATTTATTTTTCATTTTATGTGATGTTATGATAGATGTCAGGGTTCCTTTTTCTAATTAACTTTAATGATAATAAACTTTGAGTAACATTGAAATGAATGTGAAACATGAATTTTTCAGTCCAAATCTTAGTTTGAGGGATGTGCAGCATATATTAGTGAAAGCTTCCGACGTAGAACAGTTGCAAGATAAAACTACGTTACGTACAAATGGAGCGTGCTTAAAATGTAAACCTTATTATTTCTGTAATAACATTAACAAAATCACAATGTAATGCTTACAGTGAAAGTAATTAATAGGAATAGTTAGATAGCTGACTTCTCATTTAGTGGAAATGTTTGCAAAGTTATTCTTGTTTTCTTATTAAAGTATCGAACACTTTAAGACCCAGTGTTTAGAAAAAAAGAAATATGTTTCTGGATCTGGATCAAGTCATTCTAACGTTGTTTCATTTGCGGTTAAGACCTAACAATGATCATATTAGGCTACAAATAATATGATACAAATGCTAAAGTTGCTGCTCTGCATGCACATGGAAACAAACGTGTTTTGGAAAAAAAGGAATAACAATACAACTTGGAGATTTTTTTTCATCTGACACCATATCGGTCTTTATATTTAAGAAAAGTCAATAATTCGGTACACAAAGTACATGAATATATATTAACAATTATAGTTTAACACAAAATTACTATATTTTCAGTTCATGATATGTTCGGATTTGGACTGCTCAACGCTGATAAATTTGTTCAACTGGCTTTGAATCACTCGACAGTTCCAGCTCTTTTATCAGTCAGCGTGGATCAGTTCACGAGAAGGTAACATTATATATAATCATTTTCAGCAAAGTGACAAAAATATCGCCAAGCAACCAATTTAGTTTTTCATCCCTTTTGGATCTTATTTCTTTACTAAAGTCAAAAGTCATTTCCCACCAACAATAAGGTTGTTGTAAACATGTTTTACTTTTAGACAATTAAACTGATAACGTCTTAACAGCTCTCCTATGATAAAGCTAACGTATCATTTAAATTATGTAGGTATGATTGCGTTCGATTACACACATGTCGGTTCTTAAGATGTACTGCGAGACCTCCCTTTACAGTAAAGCTTTAGATTTTCAATATCATCTCAAAAACTAGGTTTTACTTAAACTATAAATTTACTTATTGTTGCAGAATTCCAGATAGCCAGATACAGGAGTTCGAATTCATGTACAATTGTACAAGCAATACATGTATAACAACCCTTGAACATGTCGATATCTCGATGAATTTTACAACAACAACTGACCATATGAAAGTGAAAATTATCTCACCCAGCAACACTTCCTCGGTTATTATGGACAATGATCTCAGCCAGGTTGTCCATAAATACAATTAATTCATACATGCTAAACTTAGTTGTTCCATTTACCATTTCATTCTGCTAAATACACTTAAGATTAAAAACGTGTAATATTCTTATTGTATATTTATCAGAAAGATATACATTTGCATTTTAAGTCATACACATTGTAAACCTCAATATTTTTATAAGGATTTTTTAGACACTTTGCCGACACATATAGGGCATCCCATCCTATCATCGGCTCAAAATATGTCCTTTGCATTCGAGAAACATAGCTTTGTACTAATTATAGACTGTCTAGAAAAGGATTTCTCAAATGGACGCTGTGCTTTTCTTTATTAATCGCTGCTAACAAAGGTTTTATTATGATATTTAATTTCAGGACGGCTTGCCCTATAGTAGAGAAGGACGAATCGTGACTGTTCATTTCTGGGATGAGGTACCACAAGGAATGTGGACAGTGATTATACAGAATAAGCACCTTCGTGGTAAACTTTAACTTTGAGTTTTTTAAATAACCTATACAAAGCATCTGTTTTTATATTTTGTCATTTTAAACCTAAAACCCAGTATATCTAAAGTTAAGGTCCAAAATCAGCTGGTGTCTAATGTGTAAATTCAATGTATTAAAAATTTTTGATGTATTTCAAGATGTATGATATGAGTTTTATCCACAAAAAGTGTGTAACAATATTCAGGTTTAAGATGTTTACTTTCTGTTAGTTTAATTTTTAAATACATGACCATTTAAAAAAAATCAGATTTCTTTAATTTAATACTTTAGTCGTTATGAAGATGTCTGATTAATTGAATTCAAATTCAAAATTTACAGTTTAAATTGAAAATCTGTTGTAGGAAACACAAGTGTTCACAAAATATCTTTAACATTGTATGGAACAAAGCGCAGTAACAGTGACTTTCAGTACGCAAAGAGTTGTGAAAAACCGCACGTTCCCCGGACGGATTCTGGATGGAAATGGCAATATAACCTTTTTATTATTCTTGGTATTCTCGCAATAGTCGGCATTATGGTGTATATTTTCTGGAAAAAGTTTAAAAAACCTGAACCACGTGCAATTCATAATGTTCATTACACTGTAGTTAATAAAAGTAGATGATTACCCTTTTTTTACTTTGTTGACGACATTTTCTAAAAAGAAACCAATATGGTATATATGAAAACTTTATCCAAATTGTAATAATTATACATGTCTCTCATTTAAAGTAAGTTCAACGTCAGGTTCATTTTTAACCAGCAACAGACTAAACATAATCATATGCAAAACCTCATTACACACAAAGTAAAACAATATCAGTCATACCTTATCTTTGTCATACATCACAATTTGATAATGAACGTTTTAAGGTTGCCGATTCTGGTAAGAACTCAACAATTTGCGTAACTCTGCCTTGCTTAATATTGGAATGATTTAATTTTTTTTATTTTTACACTTTAAACTTTGTCCCGGGCATAACCTTCAAACCACAGAGGTATCAGAGGGAATCAACAAGAAACTTTGTAGCTAGATAGATCTCATTTAGTAAAAGTCAATGTATAAGAAACGTATCTCAGCCATGCCTAATTTTTGACTTATTGCCCTTTTTGTTTTTACACATTGAACTTTGCTTGGGACATTACTCTGAAACTACAAGAGATTTCAACAAGAAACTACTTCTCTGTGCATCACCTTGTCCGACCAGCTCTTGTCTTCTGTGATTTTTTATTTCATGCATTTATTTCAAACTCACGACTTTCCGCATTGTTGTTTTATCATTATTAGATATTGTTAATGTTATTGCATAATACTGTTTTTTTCTATTTTATGAGTGAATTGGTTCATACTAGAATGTCAGTTAAAAATAAAAAATAATTATGTATATAGTGTTATAGATGAAAACAAGCACAAAATTATCTTAAAAAAATATAAGATACATTATACGATATTACATAACCATACATAGCAAGATAATTAATTGTTCTAAGAGAGTGTTCAGAATTATTTACTTAGACTATATCAACATTTTCCCCCGCTTAATGTTTTATAAAAATTTCTAAATGATACAATTCTATTGTTTTCATGATTTTTTTAAAACAAGTATGGAAAATGTGTCCATTGTATACCTATGTATACCGACATAAAGCAGATTGGCATACGTATATACGTTGTACAATTCTTTTAGAAAAAGGTATATCTACCAATATTACATAATAAACCCAAATACATGTATGTATAAAACTGCAGAACTCATTCAGTACAAATTGTAAACAATTTGGAAATGTTTATCTATAAAGCCAACGAATCTACAATATAATCTTAGACAGTAACAGATAAATATAGATCATAATATTCAAAACTGTATTATATATATTTAATTAATTTCCTTTTTGGAAATTTTATAAGAATTTTCATTATCATGTTACTCTAATCACGGTTAACACTAAATCATTTAACCCATTTTCCTATTTTCAAACTGTGTTTATTACCATTCAAATGTATCATGTTCACTATTTCCTTTTTTTCTCTTATTCTTATAATTATTTTATTTTATTGTCCTTATGCTCTTTTTTGTTGTTAAATTTTGTTATTTTAATGTTGGTGTTAAATTCGTAAGAAATTCCAATTCGTGTTACAGTTATATAAAAGCAAAAACTAATTTGAAAGGAAACAGATCCTCAATAATGTTTATATATTGTAAAGTTGGATTCAAACTACAACATATTATATAATCATAACATGATATTGCATGATATTACTTAAGAAGTATAGCATATATAATATGCAAGATATTGATATGTTGCGTTAAATTTTTGTTACAATAATTGATATTGTGTGATTATTTGTAACATTTTTTGTTAATTACAAGTTTTTCTGTGCTGCTTTAGATTGTGCTTAGTGTGTTTTTTTGTGTTTTCAGCTCTATAGGTTTGAGGTTCCATGATATAGGATTTAAGTTTCTATGAGATTTTTGTATTTTTTGTAGATAGAAATTAGTTTCTAAGTACTAAGGTGCCAATAAATAGATTCGAATTTTCTGTAAGTTTTTATGCCATGATAAAAAATTTAAGTTGCTTTTGATGAGTGTCATTATATAGAATTTTAATTTCTAATGGCTTGTTGTTTTTAGAAGACCGAGTGTTTGTGTCTAATTATTTTCTATAGAATTTAAGATCTATAGGCGTCTGGTGATATGTTTCACAGACATTTCTTAATTCACTTAAGTAATGATCCTTAAGTAAGTGTTTATTTATCATAGATGTCCATAGATGTCCATAGATATGCATAGATGTCCTTCGCAGCTATGTCTTACACATATGCTTTTTGTGATGTCATAATTGTTAATCATTTTGATGCAACTTTATTAATGATACAATATTGTTAATCATCTGCTGTAACTATATTTCTTATGATTGTTTTTTTAACATGGTAGTGTAACTGATTTATAATAAAACTTTTGGCATTTATACAAATTAAAAGTAAAATTTAATATTGTTTCTATTAAAAGATGATGTTCTTTTGTAAAGAAAATGATAAAGAAAATTCCAGTAAAGTGTTATATGAATATTAGTGTTAAAATGTTATATGAATAGTGATAAAGGAAATCTAAAGTGTAGATTAAAGTGACATGAATAGCACGCAATTTAAACAAATCTATAGATCGCGCATCTGAGTAAAAGTATTTTAATCACGCATCTGAGAGACATATTACCAAATCGCGCATCTGAGGGACAAAATAATGATATCGCGCAACATGTGTATAATAGTGCAAAGACATGGGTGCAATGAACATTTAAGGTGCTGTGCCATCACGCCCTTATTTTAACATACTAGTTATTTCGCTTAAATATCATGTTCCACAATAGTGCAAAATCTAGTACAAAGACATTGGGCACAATATGGCCATTAAAGGCAATTGTGTCAGCACACTACTAAACCCTAGCAAGACAAAACTTGAAAACCCTGATGACGACAGAAAGAAGAAATTATAGATCTCATTTATAGATATATTTGTTTCCATATTGCATGACGTTAATAATTATCATTTCAATTGTTTGTATATTTTGTAAATATGTTCTTTATTTATTCTTTAAGAAGATTTGCTAGATATTGTTTTATACTTTATAGTTTCATATTGACATGAACACTTTTGATATGATATGATTAATATGCTTTTTCTATGAGATATGTTTAAAACATTTTAAGTTTAAGTTTTATCTTGAACAAATTCATTGCTTCAAAAGCCTGTGTATTGTTGTAAAGTTGGATTCTAACTACAACAGATTATGTACTCATTACATATACTCATTACATAATATTGCATAATATTACTCAAGAAGTATAGCATATATAATCAGCACATATAGTTTTGTAGAGATATTAAGGGTTAAACTTAAACTTGGATTTAAGTTTATTTTTTTAAGTTTAATGATATCAAACATGTATTGTTTTATAGATATTTCATTCTATTCATTCACTAGTATAATGTTGATTAAAATTGTATTATGTAACTTTGTAGAATTTATTGATACACTCCTTAACTGTAACTTAGCATGGCCTATGGCTCTTTGGAGAATGGTTTTACACTGGCCTTTAAACTTAGTGAGATACATAATATTGATTTAACATTTATATATCTATGTTAATAAAGATGTTACGTTTCTTAAGTAGTTTTTTATTCTTTTAATTACTTTGTTATACTTAGTCAATAGTCATTATTATTATCTTTTGTAGAAAATTTTGGGGGTTTTTTATTTATTTTTTTCCCCCGTCATTGGCATGATAGTGGTCAAGAGGCATCCTCTTATCAGCCTTACAATTAAACATGTACATATTTGATTTCTGACAAAATAAGAAGCAGTAAAGATATTGTGATAAATATAAGAATTCGCAAATGTACGATTTACTTGTCCGAAAAGTGACAAGGTTGAAAAGCGAATTAACTCTTTGTGAATTAATTTTATAATTTCAGTTGAGTTGCATCCCATACATTAAAGATAATATTCATATAAATTTCAGATATTTTAACAGTTCTGTCACAGTATCGTCTTTATTTCTACACTTGTATTCAAACTGGTATTTTATAACATTGAACAATTTTCTTAACAAAATATTTATTGGTTGATATGAAGTTACGATTTTTCCAAATTGCCCATTTGGTTTCAAATATAACAGTATTGATCAATTTATTATTAATTGCTTATTCAAAAGACCCAAAAGTGCAGTAGATTTCAAATTTGAAAAATCATTTTCCAAGATTTTAGCGGACTTAAGTTTTTGAATTACAAATGTTCAAATATTATTTGCAAAATCACATTCCCAGAAGGAGGTGAAACAAAGTTTCTCTGTGAGATTTACATATACAACATTTACCATCAGATAAACTCATAAGAGACAGTTGTGTTCTGTATAAATAACATTGTGTTAAAATATCCATTTGTACAGCTTTGCATGAAGAAAAAGAATCATAAACGTGGCACCATATTTTACTCCATGGTAACTCCATATTTCCATATTAAGTAAGCTTTACCATTTGCTTTCGGTTTTTAATTTACTAGTCTTATAATTTCATATATGAGATGTTTGTTTTATTGTAATATTTTCATGCAATGTTTTTGTTTGCGTCCAAAATCGTCTAAGTGAGTGTAATTCGACACTGTATTATAATCATGGTCTTTTAAAGTAGTTATATACAATTTAGGAATGCTTGATTTGAGAATATGCCATTCGGCAATCCAATTTCGCGTACATTTTAATTTTCTTACAAGAGTGTCTATGCTGATAAAAGTATTATTTTCAAAATCCCAGATATCTTTTAAAAACAATATACTACTTTTAACAAATGAATTGAATTATAATGGTTTCCTGCGAAAACGAATTTTAGAGTTTCAAAAAAGATACATCGGATAGAGACTTTGGCTTAAACTTCGCTTTAAACCGACACCGATTTTCGAGGGCGGATTTGTAAAACGTACTTATGTTCAATTTGAAACGTAAATTTAAAGAAGAACATTTACATAGAAAATAATAATTCATGTCTTCCCCATTAGTATCATATTTTTGTAAAAAAATATTTTCGTTATGTATTTAGAGTGTATACTTTTGTATATTGTTTTAACATCTAGACTGGCTTGAATATTAGAAGTATTGGGAAAGTTTAGACCTCTGTCTTTCAAGTCAAGGAGAATTGTTCTTTTAAAAACTAACGGTCGCTTATTGTCCCAAAGAAAATCGCTCATAATTTTTTCGATTTCTTCTATGTATTGTGTCGGTATACCGCGCGATTAATAATAGAAACTACATACATGCATGTTTTGAGAACAAGAATTTTCCCTTTAAAAGTCAGACCCCAAGCTTAACATACTTGAAGACAGTTTTTAATTGTGTTTATCTTTTTTCGTTCGTATCTATATTATAGCCGTGACAAACTTTACCATAATTTCTTGTCCATTCTTTATCTTTAAATTTCGAAGTCCTTTCTTTTGATTTTTCAATAAAGATGATTGTTTTTATACTTATTCATTTTGGCCCCAGCGGAAATTTCACATTCTTTCAAAGTACTAAATATTTCTGGAACTGACGACTTATTCTCTTATTCTCCCAAAAAAATTGTGTATCGTTAACAAATTGACTTACTTTTAATTCAAGCTCATAGCCATTTAACGAAGACATTTTAATGCCTTGTATATTAATATTATTTCTTATTGCAAAAGCCTTTGGTTTTGCTTGTAAGATAAAGAGAAACGGCTCTATTGGACAACCTTGTTTAATAGAGCGAGAAATTCTAAAGTATTCAGAAATAAATCCGTTTGTTTGTATAGCTGTTTCCGAGCCGACTAAACACATTTGAACCCGTTTTCTGAATTTTTCTCCTAAACCATACCCTTTTAAGCAGATATCTGGCCAATCCCATTGTACCCTATCAAAAGCCTTAGTTTGATCTTAAAAAATTATAACACCATCTTTCTTTATCTATTACGCCCTGTATGAGCCTCTGAAATTTGTCTACCCTTAATAAAACCTTTTCGATCTGAATGAAGCAAATTTGTAGTAAATATTAGGTAATAAGTAACTAAATTCTATTTATAGACAACAAAAAGCTTTTGATTTTCCAACACCACAACAATGGTGCCAAGC